CAGGAATTTTGCCTGCTGGACCCTTTTCTTTTTTTTTTCTTGACTTTCTGCGCTTGCCTCCCTCTATTTCAGCGCAGCCCCGGATGTCAAGGGCTCTGGCAGAAGCAAGATAAAAAAAAAAGCCCCTAAAACAAACGAACATCCGTGGCCGCCGGGGCCGAGCATGCACACAAGCTCACGGCTTCCTCACGGTGCTGCGTGTGGTTGGGGCAGTGCCGATGGTGGACTCTGCACAGCCCCGCGCAACCCCCTCGTCTTGCAAAGCCTGGCTTGCTCGTCAAGGCGAGTCAAGCCAGCTTGCCATCATGGCAAGTGTTGGCCTCTGGGAGCTCGGCTTAGCCCACCCACCCATCCCACAGACCCCCGGTGGGGTTTTGGCTACGCGCAGCTGGTGGGAACACCGAGCCGTGCTCAGAGGGAATCTGCGGAGCCACCAGCTTTGCAGCTCCAGCTTAAATTTTGTCTTTGAGAGGATGCCCTGGCTGGACCCTGGGGTGCAGAGGGGACATCTCACCACCCAGCAGATCTAGAAATGGGAGAAAGCGGCACAAGCAAAGGCAGCAGCATCCTCCCACCGGGGAATCAAAGGAGCCAACTCGGGAACAGGCACTATTTAGGTTCTCAGCCCTGATGGCTCCCACCTGGGACCTGCAGCTCACTTCAAAGAACCCCTTCCCACCGCCCCGGGCACCAAACAGCCTGCAAGAAATAGGGATTATTGCTCAGTGCTGCTTAGCAAACGCCTAGCACTGCAAGGCAGATGTGAGAGCACCTCAATGCTCTCGTCGTGGGCTCCGGGCGCTGCCCTGGAGGGAGGGTGTGCAGAGTCAAGGCGAAAACGATGCAAAAAAAAAAATGCATCCCGCAGCCCGGAGGTGTGAGCGTAACCCTCTGTCTGCCTGCAGCCGGCCCCCGGCGCTGGGGCCGGGCCAGCGCAGCGCGCCGCAGGTTCACCACGCCGCCGCCTGCGGGGAGGTTTTTGCAGCTCGGCTGAGCCCCGTGGGTTGCGCAGGCTCCGGCTGCTTTGAGCGAGCGACACCCCCTGAGCAGCGAGGGTGTCCTGTCCCCCCCCCAGCTCTGTACCATCAGGGTGGGCAACGGGGCCAGGAGACACGTCTTAGGGTGGCGAAAGAGGGAAGGTGGAGGTGATGCTCCCCTTCCCAAGAGCAGGGAAGGGTGGAACCATGGGGGATACGGCGATGCAACCGGGAGATGCTCCAGGGACCAAGCTGGACCGCAAATGCAGACATTTCTCTGTTCCACTCATGCAGAAGTTGCTGTTTTTAGGAAGAAGACCCTTAGACACCACCAGCTCTGTTGAAATAGTCAGGGAAAAGTGCTGTGGTTTTTTGCTGGAGAGCCCCGGCCTTGAAAAGCTGCATTTCAGGAAGCAGGAAAGGTCCGGGCTGACCGTGGGGCACAGGCACTGCTCCGGCAGGGAGCTGATTTCTTTGGACATGCCCTGGTGTGCTGCAGGCAGCAATGCTGGCTGCAGAGGGGAACTGGTGCTGCGTGAGAGCCGCGCTGGTTCTACCTGCTCTGGACAGGACTGGAGACGGAATATTGCAGAAAAGCCAAAAAAATCTCACCCAGCCTGACTCCATCGCCCCAGGGACCCCCTGGGGCTGGCTGCCCGTGACCCGGTTGGACGGGGCTTGGAGCGACCTGGTCTGGTGGGAGGGTTGGAACAGGATGAGTTTTAAGATCCATCCCAACCCAAACCATTCTATCACCACACAGCCTTCTCCGGCCCAAGCGCTGCGGATGCCTTCGTGCCAACCTGTCCCCATCCCCGCATCCCTCCTGCCCTGCCTGCAAACGCTGCCCCCAGTGCTCCCCCACCGCCAACCCCCGCTCTGTGCTGCGAGGCCGAGTGAGACCCCATCCCGGCACCGTGTCCCCTCCTCACCTTGGCCACCGGCCGTGGCCAGCAGCGCCAGGAACACCGGAGC